TTAGTAAAAAGCAGAAAGTCGGATCGAGTCAACTTACAGTCTAATCACAGTTAAGTTCGAGTCGTAGGTTGCGCTATGCCTATGGCACACGCCGAGCACGATGGAAATAGGCGTGCCATACTACTTTTGAATATACTATCCGATTCGCAAGCAGACTGGTCAGCACCGTACGCAAGCAGAAGCGGCACAGCCAAAAATCAGCACGAAGGAGCGCGGGGCATGAAGAAGTGTATTGTAATCATTAACTCAAACAAACTGTACAAAAGATGTCGCGAGAAAATTGATGACAGAAAGGATAAAGTGTGAAAGATTAATAACTACTACAGATTTTACGCGTCCACCTAGAAAATCTTCTGGCTCCTTCAGGCGATATTAAGCTGCTTCCTTTTGTTTGTTGTGAAAGTCGCGCAGAGCCTTAGTTTTGCAGGTTTTCTTTGGAAACAGAATCTAATCCACCGCAACCTCACCATAAATGTTTGGACTATTTCGACCCGCTCAGTCGTCACCTTTATTGGTGCGCACATGGGAAGAAATAAGAGCCGCGGTATTATAAGGAATATGTAAAGGTTAAAAAATACTTCCTAGGAAAGCAAAGTTGAAACGCTTTTGGTAAGATACCTAAGAAAACTGCGTACTTCACTAGAAAATTCCAAATTAAACAAACATATACCCAAAAGATTTGCTCTCTCCCACAAAATTGTAATTTAAGTAAATCTCAGAGCAATAGCAAAGCCTTTTCTAAGGCTAGCGTACTGCGAAAAGTAGTAAAAAGTACGCTGCTCAGCACAAGTTACCTTAAACGTAAAAACAATGTAATAAATGCCGTAGTTCACGAGTTCTTCGAAATTGCACGGCGGTCCACGAATAACGCCGATACTTTTCGCTATTAATAGGCGGATACCACCTCGGACCTGTATCTAATCTACCCTCGGCTGACTAGTCTCCCGTTTCTGACTGCTGCCAGACAACCGAGGCGTTATCACTCTAGGCTCTACATTCCAAATACTCGGTTCCCCTCATCCCGAGACCTCTCCTTGGCATACTAACTGGCTTTTCATATAGACACTCGTCCCGAAAGCTTCTTTTCTATGACACTGATTACTGTTATTCACACATTAAGTTGGCGGCTTAGCTTCATCTTGCTGGCTTATCCGGACTCGTCTGGACGGTCTCCTGCTTTCTGACCGACCTCGGACTTCTGAAATCTAAATGACCCTGGGTCTGCTGACGTAACATCCTGTAACCCTCCCCTCAAATGAATTGTTGGCCATGATTCATCATTATTACTATGTCCCCTTTCTTCATGTTCACGTCCATTGTGCCCATGCTCTCCTTTAGTACTTAGACCTAAATTCTACGGATTGCACTCTGTGAGCTGATATTCTAATCTCGTCTCAGTGGTCTCTTTGCTTTCGAATACTGTGACCCTAATGGTCAGAAATGGGCAAACTTAACGGTCTGCTAACATCACCCCAAAAATATTGCCGGCTTTTTCACTTCTCCTCAATTGAGGGTTTGCTTGTTCGCGCTCTGTTTGCACTACTTGTTCAATTGGGCGGATATCTCTTCGGACCGGCTCTAATCTACCCTCAGCTGAACATCCCCCCGGGTTCTGACTGTTTCCCGACATCCGAGACGTTACTACTGTAGGCTCTACATTGCAACCACTCTGTTCCCCTCATCCCAAGACCTTTCTTTGGCATGCTAACTGGCTTTCCATTTAGCCGCTACCGTCCCGAAAGCTTGCTATTGTACCCATTACTGTTATTCACACCTTAAGTTGGCGGCCTAGTTTCATCTTCCTGGCTTATCCGGATTTGTCTGAACGGGCTACTACTTTCTGCTCCATCCCGAACTTCTCAGATCTAAGTGACTTAGGCTCTGCCGACGCACCGCCTTGTAACCTTCACTTCAAAGCACTGTTGGTCATGATTCATTATTATTATATCACCTTTCATCCGTTACAATTCACTTTATGCCCATGCTCACTTTCAGTATTTAGATCTAAATTATACGGCTTTCTTTCTAAGCGCTGACACTCTATTTTCGTCTTAACGGTCGCCCTTCTTTGGACTACTATGTCCCTTATGATCAGGTTTTAACAGACCCAACGGCCTGTTCACATCGCTCCGAGGCTAACTGCCGTTTCGTCAGCCCTTTTCGTCCTAAACTGCTTCTTTTATGATGACACTCATTACCTTATACTTAGCTATATTTGGCGGCCTAGCTTCATCTTGCTGACGTACTGGTTTTGTCTGAACGGTCTCTTGTTTTCTGACCTCTCTCAGAATTCTGAGATATAACTGACCTAGTTACAGCTGACGCAACGCTCTGTTACCCTCACCTTAATTACCTGGCCAGGCATTATTCATTCTTCTTTTATTAACCAGGATGAACCGTCACCTGAAGAAGGTCGGCGGCTTCTCCACTTCTCTTCAATAGAACCTGTTTTACCGACCATTTCTTTCCTTCCTGTGCTTTCTGTTGCATTCCTTCTTCATTCGACGCTAACTTACATGCGTCTGTCCTCTCTGACTTCTTACATTCCTACCAATTTAAGACTGAGGCAAAGCGTCCCTGTCGCTCTTTCTGAGTGATATTCTTTCCCATAATCTGCACACCTCGTCCTCCTCTCTCTGGTTCCAACCGATTGAGCATATGCGCATTAGGACCCCTCAAACTCTCTTTTCTTCATCTTCATTCCTATTTTGAAACAATCTTTCATTCTCTACTGATCCGTGTTCTGCTTGCTTCTCGTCGTATTTCGCCACTTATGATACACATGTATATGCGATAGTTAAATAACAATTACATGTATAGTGGTACAATAGTTCAGTCATCGCCGCAATTGATCGACTGCATTCCAGACGCATCCCTTTCTTCTGTCTTTGTGGCTGTTTCTGTTCGTTTCCTTTTTCCCGAGTTTGTCACAGGTACGGCGACACGCACCCAAGGAATTGTCCATCGTTGCGACAACAATACAAGCCACACAGTTCCTTTATCTGGACATGAGCGGAAGATTATCAACCCTTTTACAACTTACTAACCGGACAAATCATTCGTTATCATGCACGGATACAAATTTTCCGAGGCTTGAACCATTAGGTTCAGTTTGCCTAACGCTATCTCTTCCACATTACTCTTGCCTGGAGAACTACTTTTGACTTCGGAAGGCACATTCTCCTGCGATACAAAGCCAGAACAATTGGTCATTATGAGCTCTTCAATCCGCGTTGACCGCTCAATTGGCCGTGGTTTCCTATATTTCTAATCAATTTATTACATACCCCGTGTATCTGCGATTCTTTCTTGGGAACCATATTCTATCCTTCAAGACTTCAACAACAATTCAACATATTTCAATGTATATCCCTCAGAGACTTCACGTGGTTCTGCAGAGGATCAACACGTCATATTCAAAAAGTATGTTTAGTTCCCGACCTACACACCGGGCACAGGACAGGACTCAGGAACGCAATAGGCACCCGGCTAACGCATCAGCCGGCAGAAAACTGGGACGCAACCTGACTGCGAATAACCGAGCAAACAAACTTTCAACCAGAAACATAGCCAGTTACAACTTGCCATTCAATGGATTGGCGGCAGTGTTTCAGGACGTGGTGGATTTCCGCCTGACAAGCGTTCGCCCTATAAAAAGCCACAAATGTCTGTTTAACAACACTATAACTTGGCGAATGTGACTTGCCACCGAATAAAGTCGCAGCCCATAACTTCACACAGTCAGGTCAACAAGCGTCACCATACTAGATAGGTTCGTTCCACTGGAACTTTACATATGCATATACTGCCGTCTTTTGCTTTCTACGATATCACCGTTGACCTCTGCGTTACTTGTGCACGATCTCACTGTATTGTCTTATCTTTCTTGAGCGTGCTCTTCAATTAGCTTCCAATGGATCATTCAGGATCCTCAATCTATTATTAGCAGAGGTCTCGGTTTCACTACAGCTAAATTATTATTTCGCATTTTCACCATTGTACAGTTCCCATCATGGACATATAGACAATTTCCTACTCTCACTGTTACAGTTGCCATAAAATATCTGTACAGTTGTACGTCTGCCTCCTTGGGCGTGCCTTGCATAGTCGAGAATAAAATATTTATTTATTTAATTATAAGTGCATAGATTGGCGTCGCTTTTCGCTCAAAGGCTATTCGACACGCCCTATGCGATGGATGGCTACAAACAATCTGCTATAACGTCGATGACCCCTTACACGATTGTCTGCAACGTTTTGCTCTCATGGTGACTCGTGTCGAGTATGACAAAATTATCCTGGCTATTTCATAGCTTCTCAATATATGTAGAGCTGCTGCTCTGCCCTTGCCTAGCATCGAAGCTAAACCACACACCGCATCGGCATCCCTACCTACATCTAGA